TAGAACTACAGTAACATCATGTTCACACAGCGCACACAATTCCTCTGCACTTCCGATTTCTCCCAATATGGGGACAGGAGAGCTGTCAGTCAATAAATGGGAAAACAAAGTAACTGGCATTACTTTTTTGAAAAAGTAACTCAGATATTTTCTTGTAAATTAAAAATGTAATGCGTTACTTTACTAGTTACTTGAAAAAAAGTAATCTGATTACGTAACTCGCATTACTTGTAATGAGTTACCCCCAACACTGCACACACATACACACGTTTAAAGAGATAAAATATATTATTATTACAATATATTCAAATAAGTATTATTAAAAAAACATTGTTAATAGAATAATAAATATTAGTAGATTTATATTTGAATAATTGAATGTATGTTTGAAAATACTGAAATATTTAATATATTTGTAATATATCTAACAAATATCTAATGTATGGGCAATAAATTATTGCAACGGATGGTGTTTGCATTTCGTGTTTTTATAATATAAATTTACAACACTGTAATGTAAAACAAGTCAGTTGGCTTTCTTTGGACAAATAGAAAAAAACTCTACGAGAACAATGGCTGATGGATGGAATGAGCACCCAGGAATCTGTGAAGGCCCAGACTGAAGATAACCAGCAGCAGACTAAACTCCTGCAGAGCAATATTGACAGGTACTCTCACATCTCACAAATGAAAAAAAAAAAATTTTTTTTTACTCTATCACTAATAGTGTGCAGGGTTCACAGCTTTTCTCTTGACTGAAAGAAGCAATTGGATTATTCTTGTTTAACCACTGTGATGGGCTTTCGGTGTTAGCCAAGGGTTAGACAGACAGACCTCACTCACAGTATTGCATAAACTGTCTACTTACGCAGCCCACCTTGGCAGCGAGAGCCTGTTGACTTACGACAAGCTTTGCCTGGGAAAAAAAACAACAACCATTACACAGGAGGTCATACCTGAAGCAGGAAGGATGACTAACACAACAAAAGGACAAAATAACTTAGAATAAGTTTTTTTTAAAGGAAACAACTTTTTCCACTAGAACCACTCTCTTATAATGAGAGTTACCATAAGCTGCCATACATGGCCTGAGAGACACACTTTCTGCCTGATACTTGTCCCTGTGGAGCTTTATTTAGATGGAAAGGAAGTTTGCTTTCCAGCAGTTGTTAAGATCGATTTTGGACTCAAATCTCCAAAGAGCTTTCTATTGACCAATAGACTCCACAATATGATGGCTGCAGTTTAAACCAGGTGGATTAAGAGCAAAAAAGCAATCTAAAGAGAATCCCCACAATCACAGGACAGAGGAGGCTTGTCATCTCCTCTAAGTTATCTTGACATATAGGTTCATGGCCCCAAACAAAACATAAATGAGGGTGATCATTCTGAAACTCTGAAACTAAACACTCAATTTTCTGTATCATCAGCTCTCTGCACATGCCATAAGTAATGTTAAAGACTGAACAATACCGAAAAATTACACAAGGAGGTGCCATTAACTTGCATGAAAGCAGTCTACTTTAGACAGTTGCTGATGTAACTGTCATAGGCTAGTAAGAGCTGTGCGTGTAAAACCTCACTCCCCTGATCTCAAGAAGCACTCTAGCCGTGGCCTTGGGTGCAGCAGGCGCAATGATATTACGCAGCGCCTGAAAATAGGCTAACTTCCGTCAACATAACCAACTACACAA